TGAACCCTAATTTTGGAACCAACATACAAAACTTCAGTAAATTTTCAGTTTTTACTGAAAAATTATTAACTGCTCAGAAATAAATTGATGAAAATTGAATTCTGCAATAATATGTTTCTCTGAAAATTGCATTTAAATTAACAGGCCAATTTCCTCTCATTAATTCCGATAATTTCCCTATTTGAAGAACATCTCCAATTAAAGTGCATATAAATAAAAAAATGAATCATTGAAATATTTAATTTGAGCATCGAAAACATAAGTGTATGAGCTTCTAATAGAGAAAATATGGTATGTCTGAATCAGAATGCTTTTATTCACCAGTACCGCAATGATTGTTTTAAATCTGTAAATATGTACCACTATCATATATACGTATTCACTGTCTATTGTTTGTTTGCCAATAGCTCTGAGGAAGAACAATCAAAACCTGGAGTTCTATTGAAGAAACAGAATATTGCTTCTAAACAAGATCTTGCACCTGCAAAGCCCGAGGTCAAATCCATACGTGATAAAGCACCTGAGTTTGTACTTAGGCCTCGTAATGCAACTGGAAGTGAAACTAAATCTGCAAAGTTCACATGCACCATTGAAGGCAAACCCACTCCTAGTGTAATTTGGAAATTTGAAGACAGAATATTAAAGGATGCTGGTAGATTTGAGATATATGATGAAGATGGTGTTTATTACTTGGAGATATTTGAATTGCAGGCAACTGATTCTGGAATGTATACGTGCATACTTAGTAATGCAGTTGGGAAAGCAATTGCAAAGGCATCACTCACTGTCATTGGTAAGGATTTGATTCAGTGTAATAAACTTATTTGAAAAGAATACAATTAGAATTACATTGTGCTGGTAGTGATTTTATTGTTGACCAGTATTGTATTGTACTATTGGCTGAGTTTATACTGTACCAGTATGAACTGAGTTTATTATGGCCCAGTACTGTACTGTACCAGTGTGGACTTGGTTTATTATGGCCCAGTACTGTACTGTACCAGTGTGGACTTGGTTTATTATGGCCCAGTACTGTACTGTACCAGTGTGGACTTGGTTTATTATGGACCAGTACTGTAGTGTACCAGTATGAACTGATTTCATTATGGACCAGTACTGTACCAGTATGGACTTGGTTTATTATGGACCAGTACTGTACTGTACTGTACCAGTGTGAACTTGGTTTATTATGGACCAGTACTGTAGTGTACCAGTATGAACTGATTTCATTATGGACCAGTACTGTACCAGTATGGACTTGGTTTATTATGGACCAGTACTGTACTGTACTGTACTGTACTGTACCAGTGTGGACTTGGTTTATTATGGTCCAGTACTGTACTGTACCAGTATGAACTGATTTCATTATGGACCAGTACTGTACCAGTATGGACTTGGTTTATTA